CCAGCAATTATCTCTTATCCGTGCCAATACAAATTTTAAAATATATCTGTATACAACACTGTCGACATCGATTAGTTATCACAGCCAACACGTGTTTGTTATTAGTATTTGTAATCTTTTTTTTTTTTGATTATTGATGGCATAAATATCAACGATGTTATCGTTTAGAAAATTTATCGGAATAAAATAAATAAAACGCGACAAAAAAAAGTGTCGTTTTTTTTTTTTCGTGGTTTAAATGAGAACAAAAATAATGACGGATCCGAGTCGATTTCAATACCTTTCGCCCCTCGAGAATGTTTTCTCGTTGTTTTTATTCTCGCGATTATTTTTCGCGGGGAATTCAACTGAGAGTTTTGGAAAATGACATCTTCAGCGTAGGTACTAGCTGGTATAGGTACCTCTCGTGTTCAATCTAAAAAAGTTGTCATAAATAGAACTCCTGGAGCATTTTGCCATCATCAAAAAAATGGTATCCGAAAACTGAAAAAAAATCACACGTCGTACTACGTACAACCAAAAACTTCTTCGCTATGATCATAAACTAGAATATAATAATACACGACTGGATAAAGAAATGCAATTATAATAGCAAATTAGTCAAATGGCTCATTAAGTATATTCTCCCAGTAAACATGGTGATTTTGAAATATTGTACATAGAGAAACAGGAATAATATAGTTAATTTTGATACTGAGAAAACTTTATTCCATGAAAACCGTATTATAAATATACACGATGACTTGTTTTAATATTCAAATTTCAGCGGATAAATCGATTTTACCTTCACCCGGTTGACTTGGACAATTGTAAAAATTTTAGCATAATATTATTATACAATGAAAATGAAATTGTTAACAGTTAACTACATACATTTTTACTTAAGTTAATAGGTTAAAAACAAAAATAAAAATAAACATTTTAACTATTGCCAATGGCAGCACCAATGAGTTTTCAGACGCAACTTGCGGTTATTCATAAGTACCTACGCATTTAAAATCATTAACAAAAAAAAAAAAAAGAACGGACGTACTTCGCACGTGGGTGCAGTCACTGTTGTAGGTGGGGAGTTGGAAAGGTAGGATACAGACGGGAATTCAATGTATATCTGTTAGCAACGATAAACCGTTGCTAAAGAAAAACCAATTCTGAGCGGAGTTTAGTTGATAGTGTTGTTTTATCAACAATACAATAATTAAATTGAAGTAAAACCAGCGTACCCAACTGTAGTCTGCAACAATATAATACGATAAAATAACATCACTCGATTTAATTTATAAGACGGTCGAACATATACGGAATGAAAAAAATTAATTTTCTAGAACCTTATTGTGTGGGTTATAGTAGTGTAGTGGTGGGAAAAATCCGAGTAATTCGGACTCAGGGAATCTGAAATCAAACATTTATTTAAAATCCGTATTTTAGATTTGGAAACTTTAGAATTTTTCATACAATTGAAAAACTAATCATCACTATAATTGTATTTAATATAGATAAAAGCAAATACCTACGAAAAAAAAAACCTATGGGTAAACCACGACTGCAGATAATATAATAGTACTCTATTCAGAATTATCTTTATTAAGCAACGATAAATCTTTATGCACAATACATAACCTAAGCATTATTCCAATATGATAATATTAATTATTATATTTTCCCAACATCGCCTACAACATTACGGGGCAGTGACCTACCCATACGGTGGGTTATATGTCCGAGTTTTTTTTTTTTTTATTTTTTTTACATTAGGCCTATACTAATACTAGTGTGTAAACGGTTAGCGCAATAAACAAATAATCTCTAATTATTATAATATTTCCGGTCTTTCGCGTCGAATATAATAATATGGCGAACAAACAGCGTATATAAGCGTGACGTCGCAGGTATTCGGATATTTACCGCCGCATCGGGGAAACACAGGAAATGGTGATGATGCAGCGCTTTTAAACATTTTCATTTTAAACGAACTGAATATTCGTTTTTACGATATTTCTAAAAAAAAAAAAAAAAAAAAACAAATAAAACCAGAAAAAAATAAAATAAAAAAGGGGTGAGGAAAATAACTCCACCAGCAAGATAACTCGAATTTAAATATTTGTACATAATTATTATAATATTACGATGGTAGGTAGATTGAAACAAAAATAATAATAATAATTCGGGGTTATTTCGTCGGGCCGTGTAAAACAAGAATACGTCAATAATCCATCATGCGCACTACTGCACGCCGCACAAATCCGGAGTGAAACATTTCGAAAATATTATACAATATCATCGGCCGTTATTATAATAATGATATTTTTTATAAAAATATGATCGCGTTTATTTATTTTCGATACGCATTATCAGCAATCTGTCCCGCCCGGCGTTGTTCCCGTGCCAAACGAAATAATAGAAAAATGATAACAAACGTGCATCCGTCCAAACGAAATTTCGCTTTTACAATATTAATAAGATATCGATTGTATAATATTATACCATTTTGTTCTGTTGAAAAACTCGAAATCCGTTAGTTTCTATACATATTAGAAATTCGTTTTTTTGTATATACCGGTATCTCGTATAGTGTCTATACCGGTATACCGCTTGAGTTTGTGCCGGTGTACATCGAGATATTTTTCGATTTATCGGTATAAAACATCAATGTCCCGTTCCCTATACGCAGTCCGCTGTTAATCAAATGTCTGAATAATTGATAAGTGATTTTTAATTTACGGATTTACGGCAACAAAATTATAACGTTTAAAACATTTAAATGTGCTTAATTCTGGATGCTAGTGCGTATTAATAGAAAACGACAAAATAGCCCGCGTCATTGTCTAACCCCGGGCACGTGCCCACCCTGTCTATACGTTAATCCGGACACGAGTCCATAATATCAGTTATTAAACCATAGTGACGCAATTACGGACGCCGATAATCTGATAAAGATATGGAATCGGGAACGATAAGGGCAGGAAAACAACACAAAAAAAAAAAAATGGATTACAATATACTTACACCGGTGTCACGGGCATTTCGTATCGAGGAACATCGCGCCCTCCCACCCGGTACGATTGTGCCAAGATTATCTATACCCCGCCGGTAGCATAATGCTAGGATATGTATACCTCCTCCCAATTTACCATACCTTCCAGGGGGGTATGCAATTCCTAGAGCATTTAAACACCGTGACTCGGTAGTTTTTCAACGTGCCCGTGCGGGATCTTCACTAATATATATATATATACGTATAATATTTTATTTTAGTAGTTGCATGTTATTGTTAGACATTATTGCTACTTTAAACGAGTACTAACTGTTTTTATAGCCGGTATAAATATAATTTTATCATTATTATTATACATATATGTATATATAGGTGTATTTCATATAAAAAGTATTCCCCTCACTTTTGATTTATCGTCACCATTAAAGAGTGAAAAAAAAAATAATAATACTATTAGTTATCAACAGTTATTATTTTATCGTATTCTCTGTTCCGAAAGAGAGCAGACGTACCGGATCAGGCGAGTTTAAAAACGTAGAGCTTCGTAGCGTACGTATATCCCGCTGCATCTTATACGCTGTCAGATTACGATTCGTTTTTAAACCGAGTCTATACGTTCACACCGTTTTATCACGCGTCGCGGTCCTATTGACTACCATTGAAAATCGCCATTTTTGTTTGAATTTTGAAAAAATATGCGTAACAGTGCGGATATTTGTTAGAAACTAAATGAGTACTTGAGTGAATTTCAAAACTGTTACAGCATTGAGTAAATTTCAAGAGTAGGTACGCGCGGTAAACATTTATTTACGTCGGCACGTCAAGGCAGTGCGTAGGTACGAGGCAAATTTATTTACCGACACGCCGCCGATCGTATCAGCTTACGTTTATACTTAAATTTAAATTAGTATCGCAGTCAATATTATATCGAAACACGCACACGTCATATTCGGCCCGCGACAGATTTTGGCGCGCTATTCGAAAATCGATTTCCGGACCACTAATAATTTAATATTTTCATATACATTATACTGCAGTATAATACACACTGCAGGTAGACGCGGTTAACGTAAACGCAATCATTTTACAATCGACATTTAAAATGTATTTAGTGTATAATTCGGAGGCTGGCCGTGTTCTCAAGAAGGCGTGCAACCGGGCGTCTTGGGTATTAAACAACACTAGACAAAACGCAGTACCGCCACGTTATTTACCCGCCGGGGGCGGTCCACGTGAATATATAGGTTCGTATTGAAAGATAAAAATTCTACTTCGATTTGAATTATTGATTCGAGGACGATTTGTTTGTAGGTATAGTATAGTATACTGCACAGTATATTTCGTTACGTGGGTACCGCGGGCGTTCGATAAATATCGACGGCAAAAGAAAATCGCGCGTGAAAGTTCGAGTGTGCATATCATTATTGTTGTAAGGGCTAAATATTTCATCAGCACAAAAATAACAAGCATTTCAAACGGGTCATCGACGTATGTGTAATTATCAAAAGAACATCGCCAACATAATTTAATTCCGGGTCGGGCAGCACCCGCGATATTTCCATTGTATCTTTTATCTCGAATCACGGTAGGCACAGTACCGGAAAGTATCGAGTATCTGTGTAATGCGATACTGAGAGCAAAGTACATATCTATATAATACCGACCGTCTGCGGACGCTCGTTTCGAAGTACCTGCAGATCTATAAAGTATACATGAGTGATCGTTGATAATTTCGAAAAACGTTCCGAATAAAATGTTCTTTGTGACACCGCGTGCGTGAAAAACGCGCGGTTAATATTTTTCCGTTTTAATGATTATCGAGTAAATAAACATGAAACGTAAGTTTCTAGTGTCTCGTACTGCAATACTTGTTACATAAGTATCTATAGTATTGTAGTATCGATTATTTAAATATTAGCTATGGTATATCTATTGTATATCACCGGCCCATACACCTAATAACATTTTAAATTGTCTTTCTATTAAATTTTCCCCCAAAATAAAAACGGTTTTACCGTATTGTATCTTTTGTACATATTATGCATAATATATTTCACACGTCGCTTTTGTAAATTTCTAACGGCTATTTTTATGACCAAACGAGCTTAAACTCGGAAATTATACAGTTTTATGTTTTGTAGGTGGACCGTGAATAGTTGATTTTAATTTAATTTCAATACGAATTTCACTATGCTGTTACGGAGGTTATGGTTTTTATGCTTTGAACGCCTCGAATGATGCCGAGGGATGACATTTTGTATGTGTATTGCTTCAGTGTCAAAGGCAAAGGGTTTCAACTTTCGACCTCTAACCATTTTTCATTCGCTCAAATTTCACGAGTTTTTTGTTTTTATTCTTTTTTTTTTTTTTTGAAGTAGAGTAGTTTCGTAGTATATAGTGAATAATATTATAGTACTGTATTATTATTATTATTACTCATAGTATTCGGTTATTATTCATTGTCTTACAAAGCCATATAAAACAGAAACGGAGGGACAAATTAGACTTGGCTGTTTGCTGTTGTATATTTTTCTTTTCTTTTTTTTTAGTTCGAAAAAATCGACGAAGAATATTTTCGCCCGCACGGGCCATTTGTGAAAGTACCCACCCTGTCTAGTCGGTACACGCTGTAAGAGTATAATGTATAATATTATCCGATATATTACTTATACGATTTCCGAGACATAATATAATATACGATTTTTTATATAGGAATAATGTATTAGAATTTAGAAATAATGAATAATATACTGCGTTGGTATAATACCACTGAATATGTGGATACGTGTGCGCCGGGCGGAAAATGATGATGAGGCCAAGACCCCGGTCCCGCGGGACTACGTCTGAACTATGTATACTGTATTTTAATAAAAAAGGTCGTGGCCGAAAAAAACGACAGAAATTGACCGGGTCGCACATATTATTGTCCGCGTGCACACAAACGCCACGGTGGTTGCTTCACGTTATAATATTCGGTTCGAAACGTAATTTGATAAAAAAAAAAAAAACTAATGTGACATCCGAACCGAAACCTCAGATATTAATAGTCGAATTCGTTTTTTTTGCACGTTCGCTACAGACAGCATTAGGTACTCGTCATTATTATATAGCGCAGGCAGAATGCGTTGTACCGTAAAACCCCGAAAATTCCATAAAAACAACGAAACGCTTTTACGTCCTGAAAATTCTCCGATAACGAACAAATAAAATCGAAAAATTGTTAAAAATAAATACATTAATTTTTTTTCGTTTGGAAATACACGAAATTTGTAACAGAACAAGCCATTCATTAATTCACAGCGGTTTTGACCTATCGTGATGGTTCGGTTATCCAAAATTTCTTTAAGAAAAATTACAAAAATTTTGATCGAATCGGTTGATTTTTGTGATAATTTAATTCTATTTGCCTGAAACATTTTTTTATGTATTTATTTTGTTAAAAAACGAAAAAAAAATTTAAATATATTTTTTAACATGTTTTTCTTTATGTGTATGTAAAGATGTTAACTGACGGAATTCGATTAAAAATACCGGAAAATGAACTAAAAAGGAAAATATGACTTTAAAAGTCCAAAAAAATAACCCTAAAAATTAAAAACGTCAAAAAATGCAATATAAAAGTTTCATAAACGAATTTGTTGTTACATAATTCAAGTTATGTACTTAGAAATCTACGTTTCACAATCGGTTGAAAAAAATGCACTTTCCTACAAATTCACAGCCTTAATTATTATATATTATGTGTTTGAATGATATCGCAGCCAACAATTCGGTTCGAAAAAAAAAAAAAAATATAGAAACGTATTATTATTATTCTCGATTCAAGTATACGATACATTTATAATAATACTACAATGAAACTTCCGTTAGAACGAACTTTCAATTTAACGAACTATTCTGTTTAACGATATATTTTTTGAAAATCGTCATGGTCTTCGTTGATAATTACGAGTAAATTTATTATCTCCGTATAACGAATCCGATGTTTCTGCGAACCGATGTATTCGATATAAATTATCGAATACATCGAATTTATGACGAATAAATTGTTTGGTAACAACCGTGGTTGTTTTTTTTTTTTTTTTTTTCGATAATTCGGAAGATATTGTAGCTGTATATCAATCGCTTGTTGACGATAATATTGTGAAGATGTTAAAAATATAATAAGAATAACAGTATATTTGGTGAAGACGTGGTCAAAGACGAAAGTCACCAAAAACTTACAGAAGACGAGATATTAAATGGTTTTTTTTTTTTTTTGTAGTATAAAGGAACGGTCGCACAACCAGTGGCGGCGTGATACCGAATTTTCGGGTCAAGTGTCCCGTGAGTGATTAGGAAAAAAAAGTTATGAAGTTATGTTATACATTTTATACTCCAAGTCTTGACGTATAGTTTATTATATTATTACGTATACTTAATATAATGTACAAAGTGAACTTAATCATGTAATCATATTTTAAGCATCGAAGAGTTATCGATAGTTGATAATAAACCAAATTATAAATAAAATAAACGGATTTAAAGATGTTAATTGCAAATGGGTTTTTGTATCCACTATATCTATTGTATCACTGTTATGACATTTTGGGCGCACTTAGTTCCTTTTTATATAAGTTTTTATATAGTCAAGATTAGAAAATAAATAAAATGTACCTATACATAACACGGCGCGATAAATATATTACAGTATAGACCGATGTAATTTTGATTTTACAATGATGTTTATTTTCTTTATCTGTGAACAGCTTTTATGCCAGCAATTTTGCACTGATTTAAAATGATAGCACTTTTACTAAAAGAGGAAATCTGACTGGGAGAGGTTCTTTAAGGAGGTTATGTTTTGATTTTCTTAGAAGGTTTTCCAATAAATGGGAAAATTCGGGGAAAAAAACGGGAAAATATATGTACACTGTATGTCAAACAAATATTATTAAAGAAAATATTCAATGAATATGTAATTATTTAACCATAATATGACATATATATATTGTTGAAAATGCAACGTTATCAAGCGAATTTCGCTCAGGATCGTTTTTTCGTTAGCAATGGTTATTATTTTTTTTTCAAATATACACTTATATAATTATGATTAAATTAAAATATATATCTGTAGGAACATAAAAAAATATTTAATTCTATTTAACGAATTTTTCTGTTCCCCACGAGACATAATAATAATTTATTTATATGATAAATAAATAAATACGGGTGAAAGCCCGAGTTCAACAGATTATATAAGTCCATAGATACGAAAAAAAAAAAAAACAGGTAATCTTAAGTATGTTCACTGCGATATACATGTATAACGCGGGAAAAAAAAATAGAGGCGCGAAAAATAACATGTAAACACGAATAAACTGTACTAACTCGTATGTTATAATAATGCGTATAGGTCGGGGTACACGGTGTACATTATTATATCGAAACGATAACAACATTTCGTACGGATAAACCAATGGGAAACGGGGAAATCGTATTATATTTTTCTCCGAGGAGGGCAGTGGGTATGGGAAATGGAGAGTATCACGGCGAAAGGGGACACGTTATTTTCTCCATTTTTCTATTTCCGAACGCTCGTCAACACTGCGCGTTTTGCGTGTTATACGCGATTGAAGGTGAGGGAGGTAACCGTGTTTACGTTATCGTCGGTAAAAATGTTCTGCCCATTCGCTTAAAACACAAAAGGTGGATGCAGGCGCGTTACCCAACTGTTATACTACTACGCGTATACATTGTGCGACGTGTGCAAGTGATTACACTTCTAGCACTTTTAGCAACTATGCTATACTAGACCACGACAACAACTCGGAACAGCAGGGAAATCTGAGGGAAAAAAAGCATTTTTTTTTTTTTTTTCCGCAGCTTCCGTCGTCGGTAAAATGTGGGTATACGTGTACCTAATTAAAATAATAAAACACGAGCTACCGCGGAATTGTGTGTAATAACTCAGCGTGCACCGAGTTGTACCTAATATTATTTTGTACGCAACGAGACCTCGTCTATTACAATCGTCCGAAACCTCTGCACAAATAAACCGTACACATATTCGGCCGAGAATAATGTCCTAATTAAGAGGGCGGAGGGAGCGACGGAGGGCATGGCTCCCGGGTCACCAGACTTCAAGGGGTTTTTGTTTACGCCAAAGTGACTATTTTCTTTCATGTGATCTACACATGTTTTTATACGCGTTTGATCATTTAAACTGGATGTTGATTGTATTTTATTACTTATAATATATGTATTCGTCACCTGATGACGTGTTGTTGTGCAAATTATTAGTAAATTTTTAACACACAATGCAATTTTATATGATTCAAAAACCATATGTATTTTTAAAAAAATAAAATCAAATCAAATTTTTAAAAATTATTACCATATCAAAAGTTGAGTAACATATTATATCTAGTGATAGGAATCCGAAAATCTGGATTTTTCAAAAAAAAAAAGCTTTTTAAGCTGCTTGAAAATCTTATAAATATGTATTAAATATTATTACAATATAAAACTGTGTACCTAAATTAAATGTTTGGATAAAAATTCGAAAAAAAAAAACCCTAAACTTTAATTATAAAATGCTTTGGGCTTTCGGATTTCAGCAAATCCGAAAACCAAAATCAGTTTAATTTTATGGTCCTTTGTTTTATATTTATACTTTTATAAAACATATTTTACTTAAGTACACATCATTGTAAAATATTTAACACTTATATGATTTTTAAGTGGCATAAATTGCTGTTTTTTGCGAAAATCCGAAAATCCGGATTTCCACCACTAATTATGTCACGGTTTTTATGAATCTAAAAATTTACGTTATAGTACATACATTTTGGCGTTCGTATATTGAAATTAGAATAATTATTATAGTAATGATTTATTATTTTTAATCGATGCGATTTATTTGATATATTTATTTATACATTTTTTTTTTAGGAAAAAAGCTACGTGAAGCCTCCGGAAATATTATTCTCTTTAAATTTTGTTTTTTATGTGAAAACTTTAATTTCCACCTGATCGGGTTCTACAAAAGTAACATAATTTCCCTATGTAGCCTGTTGGTTAAACTGAGACGGAAAATGTGGGTAATACTATCGTTCTGTTATTATAAGGTATGAGCAATTCGGAGTATTTCACTAAAAATGATTATTTTTTTTTTTTTACCTAGAAAAGCATTCTTCTTTTTTTAATAATAATTATTGGAAATGTCGAAATTTTTTTCGAAAAAAGTATATTACATTATTTTTAGTATTTTTAGAGTTACAGTACCGGTATGACTATAACCGAAAACGTGTTTTCCGGGAAAAACACACACACACATATTTGTAAAATAAATAAATCGGAATCAAAAATATTATAAAACAATAA